AAGATCCCGGTCGTAGGCGTGTGAGGTGCGATGGTGGTTTAATGAAGGGGCCGGCACATGGCCACATGAGATTCCTGATGCTTTGAGAGTTGCCTCGCCCGAGCCCTTGAGACCTTTCGGGAAAAACGCGCGGTGTCCGAATCCTGAAATGAGGTGAGGCCCCTGAACCCCAAAATGCTTCCCAAACACTCACAACCCTTATGGCGCCCTAATCCCCAGCTCAGGTCTTGAATTCATGAGGAGGTTGTGGGACATTTCACAGGAGTCCTCAACGGAGGAGCTCTAATTCGACAGGCCTTCGATCGTCAGATAGAATTGAATACCTGGTATGCTACAAGAGAGCGGATTTGATTCCCAATGCTGTTGCTGTGAATGTGTGTTGACGGAGAGCTTGAACTGTACAAGACACCCGGTCTAAACGAAGAAGAAGAAGAAACCCCAAACCCCAAACCCCAAACCCCAAACCCTAAACCCTAAACCCTAAACCCTAACCCCTGAACCCAGTTTAGGTGCTTGGTGCTTCGGGCTTGTGGGCCCAGTCTCTAGAGCATGCACCAGACCCCTAAGAACCCTTGCGAGCTGCCAGACAGACTTAGGGTTTAGGGTTGGAGGGTTGAGGGTTTTGGGTTTTGGGTTTTGGGTTTAGGGTTTAGGGTTGAGGGTTAGGGTTTAGGGCCTAGGGTTTAGGGTTTAGGGTTTTTGTGTTTTATGTGCGTGCCTCCGGCTTGCGGCGCAGATGCTTGCAAGACAGCATCCCTAAGCCAAGGAACTTGAGAGAGTTGACTGTAGCACCCCCAGCCGGCGCTCCTGTTACAGATAGGGTATACTATACGCCGGGTATAGGGATTGGGGTTTAGGGTTTAGGGTTTAGGGCATTCAAGTCCATTTGCGCTCTCTGACTTTCGACGGCAATCAATCCATCACCCTGAAAGGGGAGTCCACTCCTGTGCTCCGAATTCGACAGTTTACGGCTGCTTAGAGCTCTCCGAGCTTCAGCCGATTTAGGTCTTCGTTCTTTTAGGGGCCCCTGCAGATCGCGTTGCTCAAGACATCGCCATGTCCATGTCGCCCCTTTGCCATACAGTAGACTTGAGATGCTCCCCCTTATGCTAACAGTCCTTCATGGGATTATCGTACCCCCGATTATTGATAATGGGATTAGAGTACCCCTAAACCTTAAACCTTAAACCCTAAAACCTAAACCCTAAACCCTAAACCCTAAACCCCCTTTTAGAATCCCTATTAAGGACTGTTAGTACAAGGGGCAACATCCCAACAGCAGACTTTTGAATCCATCTCAAGGCTGCGGGTGTACAGATGCAGTGGAGAAAAGCCGACATGTGTTGCCGGCTCTGTACGGCGGGCGGGGCGAGGTAGGGTTTGGGGTTTAGGGCTTTAGGGTTTAGGATTTAGGGTTTCGGGTTTAGGGTTTGGGGCTTGGCGTTTAGGGTTAGGGTTCAGCAGTTCTGAGCGTGAAGAGTCTAGTCCAGCCATTCTCTCGACCAACACCCACCCGCCCAAAGAACCCCACCACATCCGAACACATTTTTTGATAAGCACACGGAGCGTTTGGTACGGAGCGTTTCCCCTTCGCAAAGCAAAAAGCGCCACTTTGTTGCGCAAGCGCCACCCCGCCCTCGGACACGACTTTTGACCATTGCCCACGAAGAATGACCATTGCCCACGAAAACTGACCATTGCCCACGAAGACTACTATAGGGTTTAAATACTATACTGAAAAGAGGGTTTAGGGTTTAGGGTTTAGGGTTCGGGTACTACAGGAGCCGAGTTACTCACGCTGTGGGTTTGGGGTTGGGGAATCGGGGTTCGGGGTTCGGGGCTCTCGGGGCTCGGGGCTGGGGCTTGGGGCTTGGGGCGGCTTGAGGCTTGGGGCTTGGGGCTTGGGGCTTGGGGCTTGGGGCTTGGCGAAAGGGTTTATATCCGCGGGAGTTGCGACATAAATGACCGAAACCTACACATTCTTCGGCCAATGGGAACCCGTATGTAACCACCAGAGAAACCCTGAGGCAGGCTCTATAGTGACCAAGCCTTGTATCGCACAGGGCTTTCCCTTTATGCTACCCCCCCCCCCACCCACCCAAAAAATATCCGAACTCCTAAAGCCCTAAGGTGCCTGAAGCCATGGGTGGTAACAAGAAAACTCAAGAGTTCATGAAGCCCAAAATCCCTAAACATACTAACGGGAGTCCCTGCAGGAATCATCCTTAAATCATGTTCCAACTTTCTGGCGTTATTGTAAAGGCTCTGAACCCCTAAACCCCGAAAGCCCCTCTAACTTCAAGACCCCGAACAAAGAGCCCCAAAACCCTGGCAAACCGGGCCGCTGTTGGGCTGAACCCTAATTAACCCCTAAACCCTAAACCCTAAACCCTAAACCCTAAACCCTAAACCCTAAACCCTAAACCCTAAACCCTAAACCCTAAACCCTAAACCCTAGCAAACCCAAACCCCGTTGCTCGGGTTGGGCGGGTTTGAGGGCCGCTGTTGGGCTGCGACGGTCATGGCAGGGCCCGTGTGCCATGATTTCCTATTGAGCCAAAAGCTCAGGGGTTTAGGGTTTAGGGTTTAGGGTTAAGGGTTCCCCTAGAACTGAAATGGTTACCGGTTTTGGGGTTTTGGGGTATCTGTGAGTTCCAGTTTCAAAGAAAGGTATACGTTACCCTAAACCCTAAACCCAAGTGCCCGAGAAGCTTCTCCGCAGCATCGGCTCAGACACCCTCGTTGCGGCGGTGAACGATGAGGCGCACCAAAGCACCCCAACCTGCGGGCCGAATATTCACCGACAATCGGGATCATGTGGCGAACTTGGAGGTTCATGGTGCTAATTAATTATAACTGTACTTACAACTGTACTTAGAGCTGTACGTATAACCATATTAGGGCACTTAAGGGGCTTATAAGTGGGTTATTGGTAAAGTTTTCATTGGTTATTAAGTACCATGAACCTCCAAGTAGACTTATATGGAGCACTCACCCAGCTTATTCAACCTAGCAGCCAGTAACCAAGTGATGGTCATGCACACAGATGTGTTCACAGACGTGTTCCGCTCCGGTGCTCCGTTCCGGTTCCGCTCCAGTCGGGCTCCGTTGCCGTTTCCGTTCCGGTTTGGTACCGTTAGTTCCCCTGCCCCCGCTGAGAGAGACCCAGCACTGACTTAAGTCAGTTAGGGGTTGGGAGTAGGCCTTAGGGTAAAAAAGTTTAGGGATTAGGGTTGAATAAGCCAGCCTAAAGCCTAAACAATAAACCCTAAACCCTAAACCCTAAAGGGTTGAATAAGGTTGTAGTTTTCACCTGGCTGCCGTGGTCAGGGCTCTGCGGCACTTACGCCGTGATGTCCTTCGACCTGTTTGCAGGCCTGCGTCATGCCCATACCACAACCAACCCGGCCCTTTGTTGTGTTTAGGGTTTAGGGTTTAGGGTTTAGGGTTTAGGGTTTAGGGTTTAGGGTTTAGGGTTTAGGGTTTAGGGTTTAGGGTTTAGGGTTTAGGGTTTAGGGTTTAGGGTGGGGCTAGGGTGGTGACGGCATCATCCAGGCGAGGACCTTCTGCAAGCCTGCTGCAAAAGGGTTTAGGGTTTAGGGTTTGGGGTTCAGAAGTTAGGGTTCGGAAGTCCTGCAGAAAGCCTCAAGACTCAAAGCCTTTGTACACAACCACATGCCGGCAGGGGCATGTGCTTGCAAAACACCTCTGTGTGTCCAAGGGGCAGAGGCTCTCCCGATCGCTAGACATACTCTGGCTGCGTAGCTCAAGGATGTAAAGACGCGTAGACACACCCTAAACCCTAAACCCGAAACCCTAAACCCGAAACCCTAAACCCTAAACCTTAAACCTGCAGAAGCACCTGAGGTGCCTGTCATCGGGAAGGGAAGCCGAGGCACTGGATGAAGCTGGCCATGGATTTCAGTCGGGCTCTGGTTGTTCCTATTCTTATAGGGTTTAGGGCTTAGGGTTTAGGGTTTAGGGTTTAGGGCTTAGGGTTTAGGGTTTAGGATTTAGGGTTTGGGGTTCTTCAGGAGCCTCCCTTAAGAACCTTATACTTTTCTTAGGGAGCCTCCCTTAACAGCCTGATAATATTCTTGAGATAATATACATTTCCTCCTCCTGCTCCTCTCCCCCCGCCTCCTCTTCCTCATTCCGGGCCTCTTTGACCAGCCGAGGTAGCATTCTAAAGCATTCAGTTTGCCGGGAGACCCTAGATGTGTAGAATACCAAAAAACTATTTGGGCAAATTTGCCTTTCGTTGGTTAAGATGATCAGGGACGATCGACTAGATTGAAAAAGGGGGGTTTAGGGTTTAGGGTTTAGGGTTTAGGGTTATAGCGTGCGGTTCGCCCTCTTGGGCACCTCAAGGGTTCGGAGTGGACAACATGAACCTCCCTACATGAAAACTGTGGTGCTGGTGTTGGGTTTAGGGTTTAGGGTTTAGGGTTTAGGGTTTAGGGTTTAGGGTTTAGGGTTTAGGGTTTAGGGTTTAGGGTTTAGGGTTTAGGGTTTAGGGCACCTTTCCGTTTTCCTGGCGCGAGGTCGTGTTCAGACTTTGGCAAGCGGCTACAGGTTTGCAGGCTTCGAGGCACCTTTGTCTGGCTTTTCGGATCAGCCCGGCTCATGCCAAGCGGCTCTGGTATCCGAGGCCTACTCCCGCGTGGCCTGGTGCTCGGAATCAGCTGAACTCTCTGCCATCACCATCTGAGCGCCTCCACAAACCCGTGCTCAGCAGTTATGCCACAGAGATGCTCTCCTCAACCCTCAACTCACAACCTGCCCCACTGGCTTGCCCTCAGAGAGATCTGTCAAAGGTCACGAATGTGGTGGACACAGTCGGTCCAGCCGTCGTCGCTGTCAAGCACAAGGATGGCCGCGGACAGGCCGACTGAGAAGTGAAAGAGATCGGTTTAGGGTTTAGGGTTTAGGGTTTAGGGTTTAGGGTTTCGGGTTTCGGGTTTAGGGTTTAGGGTTTAGGGTTTAGGATAATATACTAATACCATCACCATCGCTACGATCACTGCTACTATTGCTAGTATTCTGCATACACACACAGGGAGACATCCTGCATACACGTATATATATATATATAGATATACATGTATGGTATACGGTCGTCGGAAGTTGTGAGGGAAGCGGCTTCATTTTCAGCTCCGACGGCTACATCCTGACCAATGACCATGTGCAGGGCGCCCTAAACACCACAGATTGCAAACTCGGAGCCTTGGGGTCTAATTCGGGTTTAGGGCTTAGGGTTTAGGGTTTAAAGACAACTGTACTTATAACCCACTTATAAGCCCCTTAAGTGCCAGTGCCCTAATATGGTTATCAGCACAGTACTTATAACTCACTTACAAGCCTCCCTAAGTGCCCGAATATGGTTGTAAGTACAGTTGTAAGTACAGTTATATTTGGGTCATAAGAACCGCCAAGTACTGCCCGGCAGCTTTGAGTTGGTTTTGTAGAACCCTTCCACATCAAGCACTTCTTGGCACAACCCTAAACCCTAAACCCTAAACCCTAAACCCTGGTGGTTCACAGTGCAGTCGCGCTCAGTTGCTCAGACTGAGAAAACCCTAAACCCTAAAACCCTAGACCCTAAACCCCCTCAGCCCTTCAGCAAGAGCAATGGGCCACTTAAGAAGCCTAAGAATCGAGGCTAGGAGACGCGGCGGGCTCGGAGATCATGGTGTCGCTTACCGACGCCCCCCGGCTTCATCTCGTAGCGTTCTGCAAAGGTGCTTTCCGTCATAGGGTTGAGGGGTGATATAGGGTTTAGGGGTTATGTAGGGTTTAGGGTTATGTAGGGTTTAGGGGTTATTTTAGGGTTTAGGGGTTATGTAGGGTTTAGGGGTTATATAGGGTTTAGGGGTTACAAAGGGGTTTGGGGGTTAGATAGGGTTTCAGCGCTTCTATAGGGTTTGGGGGTTATTTCGGGTTTATAGGGTTTAGTGCGTGTGGATGTTTGCGTTTTCTCTGGCTCATAAGGACACGGTGCTGCAAGCTGAACTGGTGGGGCGCGATCCGCCCACTGATGTCGGCATTTTGCGCATTCCCTCTCGCAGCAGGCATGGCTTGCACACACAATCCCTTGAACCCCAAACCCCAAACCCCAAACCCCAAACCCCAAACCCCAAACCCCAAACCCCAAACCCTAAACCCTAAACCCTAAACCCTAAACCCTAAACCCTAAACCCTAAACCCTAAACTAAACTAAACCCTAAACCCTAAACCCTAAACCCTAAACCCTAAACCCTAAACCCTAAACTCTAAACCCTAAACCCTAAACCCTAAACCCTAAACCCTAAACCCTAAACCCTAAACCCTAAACCCTAAACCCTAAACCCTACCAACCGATGCCTTGCCGGCCTTGAGCGAGTGTGAGAGTCGAAACCCTAAACCCTGAACCCTGAACCCTAAACCCTAAACCCTGAACCCTGAACCCTAAACCCTAAACCCTAGCTTAAGCAAGTACCATGAACCTCCAAGCAGGCCGCTGCCAGCCGTGGAGCTAGGGGAGTCGACCGAGCTACGAGTGGGGCAGCTGGTCGTTGCCATCGGGAATCCGCTAGGCTGCTCCCTCAGGAACCGAAAGCATACTTTCAGGGAAACAACCCTAAACCCGAAACCCTAAATCCTAGACCCTCAACCCTAAACCCTAAACCCGAAACCCGAAACCCTAAACCCTAAACCCTAAGTCGTGTGGTCGAAGCTCGGCCTACAGCCTGGCCTAGCCTTTGAGTTTTCCAGCATTTCGTTGACAACTATCGAATCATCAACACCAGCTCATGGGACTTTGCATGCGGCATGCGCGGCCCTGCCAGTTTCTGATCAGATGTGGTTTAGGGTTTAGGGTTTAGGGTTTAGGGTTTAGGGTTTAGGGTTTAGGGTTTAGGGTTTAGGGTGGGTTTAGGGTTTAGGGTTTGCGGGTTTACGGGTTTAGGGTTTAGGGTTTAGGGTTTAGGGTGCAAGGTGAAAGAGACTGCCGCCGCATTCCCATATACACATGTTTGCCCCATTTCCTCCGAAGAGCCTGAGGCTCTGAGCTTGATTCTCGCTTGTTCTCATAGTCCCAAAGGATAGCCGTTAATTCCCCAGGTTACTGGACAACTAGGTTTCCAAAGAAACAGAGTTGTGGACCGGTTCTGGACGTCCAGATTTGCAAAGGTCGGGTTTCCAGGGTTCCGTATCTTCTTTTTGGGCATGTGGACGCTTCTCGAAATCTGGTAGGTCAATTCTGGCCATGTTTAGGCCCCAGCAAGTCTCGAAAATCTTGAGGCCTTTTTGGTACTCTTTTCGAATTTGTGTCTCACGGAGTGTCGAGAATAGTATCTGGAGATGTGCCACAGACATGTATGCCGGTCCAGGCATCCCGAAGATCAGCAAACGAAAGAACAGTTTTGTCTCTATGCAGGTTTCCCTAAACGCCCTAAACCCGAAAAGCCCTAGAATCCCTAAACGTTACAAGCCCGAACCCTAAAAACCCAAAAAGCCCTACACCCTGAAAACCCTCTAACAACCCTAAACCCTAAGAACCAAGAACATTCAACCCAAAAGCCCCAAAAACCCTAACCACCCGAAAACCTGAGAGCCCTAAAACCCTAAATCAGCTGTTTGTGCAAGGCCAGAGGATGGCCAACGTGCTTACATGCACACTTGGTTTAGGGTTTAGGGTTCAGGGTTCAGGGTTTAGGGTTTAGGGTTTAGGGTTTAGGGTTTAGGGTTTGCACCAGGAAGTGTATAGGTTGGGATGTTCCCCCGTTATATTCACAGTCCTTGTTAGGGATTACAACTGGTATTCTCATCCCGACTAAGGACTGTTAGTATAAGGGGGAAGTATCGGAATTTGGTCAAGTTGTACTCGTTTTTTCTGAAATAATTTGCACATGTTCATCTTTCATAATTGGCAAGAAAGAACCTATATCCCAAGTAGGTTCACACCTTAATGCGTATAGTAGAACTTATATTTTGAGAATTAAGGTGTGAACCTATGTGGGATGCAGATATTGAGACGTTGTTTGGGATCAGTTGAGGTTTTTTTCGCGAGGGATCCTCAAACCGGCCTTCTGGTTTGAAGCTGAATGCGTAAAGAATTTAGGGTTTAGGGTTTAGGGTTTAGGGTTTCGGGCATCTTCTTACCGTTAGCTACTACCAGAACTAAGCATCGGTATCTATGGTGGTTCCGATATGTGTAAGCCAAACAAGAACAGGATGAACAAGTAGTACGATGGAGAGGCAACTGTTTTGACTTGAAGAGGGTCGACCATACATGTGATGTAAAGAATGGATGGGTGAATGGCGACTTATACAAAGGCGTGGTATTAAGATAAAACAACTGTATTTCCTACAGTATTTTTGTGCGATATATCTAGATATTTATTTAAAGGTTGCTTTTGAATTTGTTCATGTTTCTACCATGTTGCGAACATGTTCAGGCTATGCCAGCTCCGTGAGCGCGGGCGTGGTGTCTGCGCTCGGGCGCTCCTTGCGGTCCCAGTCGGGGCGGCTGGTCGCGCTGAGCTCAGCATGCTGCCCTCCCGCACAAAAAACAAGCTTTGAAGTATAAATGTACAAATGTACAAATGTATAAATGTATATATGTATATATGTATATATGTATATGTGTATATGTGTATATGTGTATATGTGCATATGTTTCTCTGTACATAAATAAAGTACATATCCACAAAATGAAGAAATGACACATAACATATGTGCACGAAAAACAAATAAACAAATGCTCAAAGCCCTATACTCCTTGAGCTGCCGAGGACAACATCATCCAGCGCCGGGCTTACCGGAGTGCCCCCCCGCCCCCCCCCATGTCCGTTTCGGCACACGTACTTGGAGGTTCATGGTACTTATTAACGAATTATAGCTGCACTTATACCTGTTATCATTGTACTTATAACCACATTAGGGCACTTTAAGGGACTCCTAATTCTAAGTGGGGTATAAGTACACTCATATCTGGTTAGTAAGAACCATGAACCTCCAAGTGGGTCACATGGAGTCTTCGCTCTCTCAGACGAGGACAGACACGGCCATCAACCCGGGAAACTCCGGCGGCCCTTTAGTAGATGCCAATTGCAAGGCCAGTGTGCATCAAGTGAGTTGTGTGATTTGTTTGCAGACCTCAACCTCAAAAACACACACAGACACACACAAGAGTTTAGGTGGACACTCTTGTACATTCCTACGCAGGGAGCACATTCTTCGTGCGCTTGGGAGGCCCCTGCCCCGACCTCGATGCCCTAAACCCTAAACCCTACACCCTAAACGCTAAACCCTAAACCCTAAACCCTGGTGGAAGTGTGGCCAGGCTGTGGGCATGAACACCGCCATCGTGGCCGGGACTGCCTTGCTTGCAGGGTTCGGATAGCAAAGGCTTCGTGGCAGGTCGGGTTTCGAGGCACCGCAACATCTTGAAGATGAGGGGTTGAAGATGTCATTGACTGGAGAACGCTGCAAGGGTGGCTAGCCATTCCATGTCGGGCATGCATCTGTGCATGCTCTTGCTGGTTTCTTCCAAGCCAAAACCCCAAAAACCCTGAGCCCTTCTACTCTAGGACTCTATAAGACCTGAAGGGACTGCCTGAAGGAATTCACTATGCACATGCCACCTGCAACAGCTTGGTCCATACCTGGGAGGCTCATGTGTAGTTCTAAGTAGGGTTATGTGTTTTTCAAGTAGGTTTTTAAGTCTACTTCCCCTACTTACAACCCTACTTATAACTACCCACGAACCTACAAACCCTAACCCCTAGGACTCCTAAACCCTACATAGAGCCTGCATGAGGCCAGGATTGCCTGGCTTTGTCTGTCTGCCTGGGGGGCGGGGTGGTTGGGAGTCAACGCTCGTTGCTCCGGGCTGCACACTTCGGTGCTAGGGGTTTGGGGTTTAGAGTTTAGTGTTCAGGGTTTAGGGTTTAGGGTTTTCGGGGTTTAGGGGTTCCAGTGGTAGTGCTCAGGGTTTTCGGTCTAGGGTTTTCGGGGTTTAAGGGTTCCAGCGGTTTAGTGTTTAGGGGTTTGGGGTTTAGGGGTTTAGGGGTTAGGGTTTTAGGATTCTTGGGGGGTTTTGGACTTGCCCTGCCTCCTGTGCGACTCCACCAGAGCACTCTCTGGGCGCATTCTCCGCGCGCGAGCCCACTGTGCACAACCCTAAGCCCTACCTAAACCCCAAACCCCAAACCCAAAACCCTGAACCACCTTGAACTCTCAGCCCACATTCAGACCTTTCGTTGCTCTGCAAGGGCGCGAGCCGCACAATCTAAGGTGGAGCGAAAAACCCTAGCAACATTGCCCCATACCCACACCAAACAATCACCAACTCTCAACCCCAAACCCCAAACCCTGAACCCCAAACCCTAAACCCTAAACCCCAAAGACCCTGAAAACACAAGAAGCCTCAGGAGCCAAGGCCTGGCCTTCGCCGTGCCATCGAACACTCTCTCCTTCGACTCTTGGTCGCAAGAAGCAAGGCCTAGGGTTTAGGGTTTAGGGTTTAGGGTTTAGGGTTTAGGGTTTAGGGTTAGGGTTTAGGGTTTAGGGTTTAGGGTTTAGGGTTTAGGGTTTAGGGTTTAGGGTTTAGGGTTTAGGGTTTAGGGTTTAGGGTTTGGGGTTTGGGGTTTGGGGTTTGGGGTTTAGGGTTAGGGTCTCCTGGCGTGCCTCACCTATTGGTTCTTAGTAGCGCATGAGTTATTTGACAGCTTGTATCCCTCTGTGTATTATTTTGAGGGATTATATGCTACCCAATCCCTACGAAGAGTCAGCCGGCAAATGCTGATCGCGCGTCAGGCGCCAAGGGCAGCTGAGGAATAAGACTACAGCGTAGGGTGCAGCGGCTGCAGCCATGGAATATACACATGAATCCCTAAACCCCAAACCCTAAACCCTCATCCGGCTTCACTACTTGCGGCTGTTTTTCTGCTGCTGCTCTTGAGAGCCATCTTGAGCCCTCCTCTTTTGTATCAAAAAGCTTTTCTTGCATTGCTTCCAGTATGATTACAGCGATGAAACTGATATGGAATTGCTATTTAGAATTTCCAGACGGTTTAGGGTTTAGGGTTTAGGGTTTAGGGTTGATTAATTTCAACCCGAATTAAGCCCTAAGCCCCACGGCCAAACTGCAGTCCCGAGGCCTGAGGGTTTCCTAAACCCTAGACCCTAGACCCTAGACCCTAAACCCTAAACCCTAAACCCTGAACCCTAAACCCTAAACCCTAACCCCCCCCCCCCCCCCCCCCTGCTCACTGAGGTCGTCTCCCAGCTGATGCAGCATCGGCCTTGGCAAAGCTCCTGTAAACCCTCAGCCCGAAACCCTGCACCCTGCCTGCTTAGGGCAGTTCGGGCACTTTCGGGCACTTAGGGCACTTAGGGTTTAGGGTTAGGGTTGCACTTAGGGCACTTAGGGCACTTAGGGTTTAGCGTTAGGGTTGCACTTAGGGCACTTAGGGCACTTCGGGCACTTAGGGCACTTAGGGTTTAGGGTTTAGGGTTTAGGGTTAGGGTTTAGGGTTTGGGGTTTGGGGTTCGGGGTTTGGGGTTTGGGGTTGGGGGTTTGGGGTTTGGGGTTTGGGTTTTTGGGCTGCAAGCTTTTTAGTAATTAGCTTGCAGGGGCCATGTAGGGTCTCGGGATGGAGGCAGGTAGCTGGCAGTAGAACGGCATGAGGCCGCGGTCGCTCCAGTTTAGGTGCCTATGAGATTATGAGAGCCCGTGTATCTTAGGCTGCCCCATGAAAGGATCCCCCAATCTAGAGCCCCCCCCCCCCCCCCTAAGCCCTCAACCCTAAATCCAAAACCCTGTCACAAGTGCATCTTGAGTGCTAGGTTTGGGCGCGTGAAGCGCGGCTACTTCGGCATCTACGGCCGGGCCTTTCGTGGCTTCAATTTCGAAGTTGTTTTTGACTTGTCCTTTGCGCCAACTGCCCCACTATATCATCAGTATTGTTGGTATGGCATAGTGTGGCATGGGTCTTAGTGCCATTTTCATGGTCATCATAGAAGGCGCCTCGGCAACACCTACAGCGCATACAGAGATGAAGCCCTCAACCCGAAACCGTGACTGGGTTTAGGGTTTAGGGTTTAGGGTTTAGGGTTTAGGGTTTAGGGTTTAGGGTTTAGGGTTTAGGGTTTAGGGTTTAGCGTTTGGTACGTGCCACGCCTTCACGTGTGGTCCAGGTGGCGTACGGCCGGTGCAGCGGGAGCTTCAGCAAAGATCTTTGGCTCCACCTTCCGATGTGGTTTTGGACATTCTGGGAAGGGGTTTGAGGCTTAGGCTATATCCCCCTTGGATTTTTTTTGTTTTGTTTGTATCAAACCCAAGAGGCTGGGTCTTGGAGTACTTTTCTTTAATACTTTGTTTGGTTCTGGGTTCCTATTATAGCTACTTATACCTAACAAGTATATACCTTTTTTTTCAGGGTCTACTCCAAAGCTAAGGAGGATATTCAAAATATCGTTTTGAGTAAGGTTCTGAGGGGAGTATTGTAGGGTTG